GTGGAGGCCTTTCATCTCTCACCAGTAAGATTAGAATTACAAGAGAACTTCATATTTGTCCAAAAATAACTTAGAAAGTTCATGTGCAGTTTTTTCATAGCCTGCATTAGTCATACAAGGATTGCAATTTTCTGAGCACAAATATAAGCTTATCTTTGGCTACCAGTTTCCATGAACTTTTTAACGTATCCTTGTATTTCTGCACAGTGATAGCAAACAATAGGAAATTTAAGTTTTAAAATGCCATTTTCAGTAGCATCAACAATGTGAAATATTTAGAGATTCTTTTGATCATGGTGAGGCTGTTGCAGTCTATTTATACATTGCTGAAAGTTTTGATTAGGAATGGGTGCTGGATTTGTAAGTGCTATTTCTGTATCTACTGAGAGAATTACATAACTTTTCTTTTTAGTTTGCTAATAAGATAAATTAGATTTTTTTTTTGCTAACCAACCTTGCATTCCTGGAATAAATCCCACTTGCCAGTGGTGTGAAATCCTTTTTATATGTTTCTAGATACAGTTTTCTTATATGATTCTCTGACTTTTTGTTTAGATATTTTGCATTAATGTCCCCGAGCAGTGCTGGTCTGTAGCTTTCTTGTCTTCATTTGCTCTTGTCAGGCTAAGTCCTTATCTCCTAGTATGACTTGGGAGGATTCCTTTTTGTTTCGTTTTCAGGAAGGGTGTGGGCAGCACTGGTGTTTCCTTCGTAGATGTTTCATTCACCAGCACAGCCTTCTGGCTCTGCAGTTTACTCTGTAGAAAGGTTGTTAATGACAGCTCCCTTTCCTTAATGGATATCAGGAGATTGGTAGTATCTGTGTTCTTGAGTGAGCTTCAATCTTTTGTGTCTTTCAACAACTTTGCCCAGTCTTCCAAATTGTCTAAATTACTGGTGAATGTTCCTTGTTGTCCTTTTGCCATCTTTAGAAACGCTAGGTGAGGCTGTCTCTCTCATTTCTGATTCTGATCACTTATATCTTTCTTTCCACGTCAGTCATGCTAGAGATTTATCACTTTCCTTGATCTTAAATAACCAGCTTCTGTTTTCACTGATTTTCCCCATTATACTTGGTTCCCTATGTCACTGATTTCTGCTTCTGTGTGATTCTTTCTCTCCTGATATTTATTTTGTATGTGATCTGCTGATCTCAGTGGAAGCTGTGGTCCTCACTCTGAGATGCTGTTCTCTGTCTCAGGCACTTGACCCCTCACTTCCTCCTGTGTGCATTGTCAGGGACTTCTTACAGGTCTGGGGTGTTCTTCTGATTTTCACTCACTTCAAAACACTTTTAAGTTTCCATTTTGTTTTCTTCTTTGGAGATTATTTGGAGCTGAATTGTTGATTTTTAAAATATTTGGAAATTTCCCAAATATCTTTGTACACTGACTTTTTTTAAAAGATTTATTATTTATTTGAAAGGTAGAGTTACAGAGAGGCACAGGCAGAGAGAGGGAGGGAGGAAAGGAGAGAGAGAGGGAGAGAGAGAACCATTCGCTGTTTTTTAAGACTTACATATTTATTGAAAGGCACAACAACAGAGACCAAGAGACAGAGACAGAGGTCTTCTATCTGCTAGTTCACTACCCAGATGGCCACAACAGCCAGAGCTGGTCCATGTAGAATCCATCTGAGCCTCCCACATGGTGCAGGGGCCCAGCACCTGAGCCGTCTTCCTCTGCCTTCCCAGGCACATTAGCAGGGAACCAGATTGGAAGCAGAACAGCCAGGTCTGAAATCAGCACTGTATGGGATGCCAGCATTGGAGGTGGTGCCTTAATCCCTACACCACAGCACTGACCCCACCATTTCTTTTTAAATTTACTTTCTTCTGGATTTATTAAACATTTTTAATGATTCTACCTTGTACATTTTATTTTGACAGGCAGAGTTAGACAGTGAGAGAGAGAGAGAGAGAGAGAGAGAGAAAGGTCTTCCTTTTCCATTGGTTCACCCCACAAATGGCCACTATGGCCAGTGAGCTGCGCAGATCCGAAGCCAGGAGCCAGGTACTTCCTCCTGGTCTCCCATGCAGGTACAGGGCCCAAGCACTTGGGTCATCTGCTGCTGCTTTCCCACACCATTAGCAGGGAGCTGGATTGGAAGAGGAGCATCCAGGACTCAAACCAGCACCCATATGGGATGCCTGTGCCATAGGCAGAGGCTTAGCCTACTGTGCCACAGCACCCGCCCCTTTGTTTTTTTTTTTTTTTTAATAAATTCCTTTCAAAAAGATTTAGTGGTAAAGAAAAATTATATATTTACCCATGTGGTTGTCACAAAACTCTTAATTCCATTGTATATGTATTTTGTGGGTCTGCTTCTGGTGAATTCTTTCAGCTTTTTAAGTCTACAAATGTGTCTATTTCCATTTTGTTTTGGAATGATACTTTTGCTGGGTATGTACATCCAGCCCCACAATTTTCAGGACTTAAAAAACATTGTTGATACGTAGCAGGTAAAGCCACCACCTGCGACACCGGCATTTCGATATGAGCATCGGTTCGTGTCCTGGCTGCTCCAATTCCGAACTCGCCCACATGGGAGACCTGGATGAAGCTCCTGGCTCCTGGCTTTGGCCTGGCCTAGCCCAAGCCATTGGGGCCATCTGGGGAATGGACCCGCAGATGCAGGATCTCTGTTTCTCTCTCTCTCTCTCTCTCTCTCTCTCTCTCTTTCTCACTAACTCTGACTTTGAAAACCGTCAATCTTAAAAAAATGTTGCCCCACTGTCTTCTTAGTTGTATTATCTCTGCAGTCATTTTTATCTTTGCTCTTTTATATACAGCGTACTTTTCCCCACCTTGGCTGTTTTCACTTAGTTTGATTATGATGTACTTTGGTGAGGTTTTTTTCATATTTCTTGTGCTGAAGGCTCGTTGAGCTTCTTGATTCTGTGGTTTTATAGTTTTTATCAAATTTGGGGCAATCTTGACCAGTATTTCTTCAAGTTTTTTATCTGCACCACACTCTGTCTCCTCCTTCAGGGACTACAATGATACATATTCTCATACTTGGAATTGTCTTAAAATTTTTTCTCTAGGTTATTTTTTTTTTACTTTAAAATTTTCTCCCCATATTCCAGTTTGAATAGCTTATATATTTTTATTTTTTAAAGATTTATTTTATTTATTTGAAAGAATTAGAGAGGGGGGGGGGTCTTTTCCTTTGGCTGGTTCATCCCAGCTGCAATAGCCAGAGGTGAGTTGATCTGGAGCCGGGAGCCTCTTCTGGGTCTTCCACGTGGGCACAGGGGCCCAAGGACTTGGGCCATCTTCCACTGCCTTCCCAGGCACATTAGTGGGAGCTGGGTCAGAAGCAGAGCAGCCAGGACTTGGACCAGCACTCTGATATGGGATGCCAATGTCACCCGTGGCACCTTACCCTGCCGCACCACAACCCCAGCCCCTTGAATAGCTTACACTAAGCTTTCCTTCTGCAGTGGCTAATCTGATTTAAGTCCTGTCCAGTGTATTTGCATTCTCACATACTGGAGTCGTTTACCTCTAAAGGTTCAATCTTGTATCCTTTTAATGTGTCTATTCCATGTGTCTACTTAACTTTAACATTTGAAATACAATTACAACCTTTAATCTGTTTGTCAAGTCTAACATCTGTACTAGTTCTGAGTTGGTTTCAATGATCTCTTCATTATGGGTCTCCTTTTCCTGCCTCTTTGCATATATGATTATTTTTCATTGGGTGCCATCATTTGCATTTAGCTTATTGAGTCCTGGATATTTTTGTAACTTGTGAAGATTGTCCTGGTTTGTCTGGGGATGTGGTTGAGTTTCTTGGAAACAATTTGTCCCCTCTGGTCTTGCTTTGAATATTCATTACATGTGAGCAGGCCGGCACTCAGTGTAAGGCTTAGTGTTCCCCACTCCTGAGGCAAGAGCCTTCCGAGTGCGCCACCCAAGGCCCCAGAGGATTGAGGTTTTCCATCCTGGGTGGTGGGAACAGGTGCTCTTCCTGGCCTGTGGGTGCTGTGTGTCACCACAGCCCACCTTGTCAGGTGGCCCGTTCCCTAGCCCTGGCCAGTGTCCTCACGGCCAAGGTGTCTCCTCTCTACCCTGTAGGCCATTGCCACATTGGTCTCCCTGGGCTCAAAGCTCTGTCTCCTCAGTTCCAGGAGCTACCAGGTTGCTCCTGCATTGCCTCTCCTTGAGCCATGGCACAGAAACTCTCAAAGCCCTAAACCAAGCAATAGGCCCGATTCCCACTTTGCAGGGACCCTGGCCTTCGCTGCCTGATGGGCGGTGCCTTGCAAACAATTGTTTGGCCCATTGTGTTCATTTTCTGGCTGTTTCAGGGAAGACGATCCATCCGGCCCTGGCAGCTTCGTGGCGGCCAGAAACAGAAGTACTCAGAGGAAAGTTAATTGACTTTTCCGAACTGTTATTTTCTCATCTGTATTAGAGAAAAGGATAATGGCAATTAGCTTATGATGCTACCGTGGGAATTTAATGAGGCTGATGTCTGTGCAGCACCTGGCACTTGGCAAACCCTCGGCACCTGGTGTTACTTCTTCCTGTTTTTAACGTGGGCTAGCAACCCAGTTCTTAGCTGAGATTTAGGTTTCAGTCTATCTGATGACCGACCAAAGCAGATACTCAACCTTGGACGATCAGGCTTTCACTGGACGAGGTACAGAATTCTGCTATCCAAAACACGGTTCAGAACAAACCTCTCTACCTTGACGTAGACGTGACTTTCTCTGAAATCTCATCCGGTTCAGCCTACCAGAATTACTTATTTCACATTCGAGTGTCAGTAGATTTTAGAAGGTCAGTGATGTGCAGTGGATGGAATTTTTAAGAGGACCAATGCTATTTGTAATCCCCCACTTAATCTGATCGGGCTATCCTACTGGGCCATGAACTTGAACTTTCTTCCTTGCTCTCTTCCTTTTTCTGAAGGTTTCCCAAGGAACTACGTGATGACCAGGTGAGTGTTTGCGGGAGCTGACCCTCTTCTCTCCTTCTCTCTTGTGTCAGTGTCTGGAGGCCGCAGCCGCCTGCATCTCATTGACCTTGGCAGCTGTGTGAAGGCTCTGAGCAAGAACCGGGAAGGAGGCTCGGGGCTGTGCCTCTCGCTGTCAGCCCTGGGGAACGTCATCCTGGCTCTTGTCAATGGCAGCAAACACATCCCGTACAAGTAAGTGACTCTCCTACCGGCACCGTGGAGTGGGTGAGCACGGCCCCACGGCTGGGTGTGGGACTCGCCATCTGGTTCTTTGTGGGGAGCCTGGGCTCCACGGGCACCACCCGGACCACATGGCTATTCAGCACGAGAGACCAGCCTTAGCTAGTGACTGTGTGAAGTGTCGTCTTCCAACTTGGAACATCCTGGAAGTACCCGGATCGTCGGTTCCAATTCTAACTTCAGGCAGCTTGGAGGAGGCGGGGAATTAGCTCAGTTGAGGTCTCCTACAACAGTTGCTGCTGGTAGCTTGCTGTCACTATTGTGTAGATGTATCTCTTTCAGAGTGATGTGAGCAAGGGGCAGAAGACAGGCATACCCCTGCCCCAGGAGCAGGGCCACCACATTGAACCAGTAAAAATACAGGGTACCCAGTTGGATTTGAGTTCCAGGTGAACAAGAAGCTCAGTATGGCCCCTACTATTGCATGGAACGCCGTGGGCATCCTGTGTCTTAGCTGGCACCCCGACTTGAGAGAGTTGTTACAGCTTGGAGAATTACCAGCCTCCTTCCCATGCAAATGCTACTGCACTTCCAGGATCCTTCCCTCTTCGTGTCACTGCTCCAGGAGGTTGAGCTTGGAGCTGCTTCTGTGTCAGGCACAGCCAGAGTCTTGCCATGTGATCTGAGCCTGTGAATGACCCAGCCCTGTCCACCGTCATCCCAGTGTAGCTTTGCCACTGGACAGTGTGGTGTTGGCATGGTGGGCGTTCGGCTGGCTGACCAGGCCCCTGCCGAGGCCCATCCACGCCTCTCATCAGCCGTGTGAACCTTCAGCCATCGTGAGCTGAGGGTTGTGGCTCTGCATCCTGTCTCCATCGCTGAAATATAAGACTAAGGATGATAAAGGATGTGGGAGAGGTTTCATGTGTCCGGTAACCAATAATGATAACCTGGTTAGGCCTCTCTTCATCTGAGATGAAAATAATATCTCATTCCAGAGTTGCCAAGAGAATTAAACAAATACACATGGAATCATTTTGGTTAATCTGTAAAAATCCTGTGAAATGTGTTCCTATTGTGTGGAAGGGACTAGGAAGCTCAGGCAGCTCATTGTCTGCTGAAATTCAGGGTGAGTCCTTGAGTTCTCTTTCCTGGCTATTCTAAGAGAAATCAGACCTCCACCCCCTGAAAAAAAAATTTTAAAACACCCCTGTGATTTGATTTTCTACCAGGACAACCATTCCTAGACTGACTTGAGGCCTTATAACGCTGTCTCAGTTCTCGAAATGTGGAGTGGAATCCTAGTTGGGTAAATGGCAAAATGGCTTGCCTATCCCTTGGAAGGAATATTTTCTATAAGAAAAAAATTCAAGTGGAAGGTTTATGAGGTTTCATTCTGTGTCATGTCTGCCATTGCACAAACTCAGCTCGTGAGTGTGAAAAGAAAAGAAAAACGAAGGCATTCTGGAGCCGCAGGTTCATGGTCGCAGGTCCTGGAACACCACTGGAGAGTTACCGGCCTGGCTGGAGTCCCTGTCCATGCGTGAGAATCCTGTCCATGTGATAACTGAATGATCATGATGGATATAGGTACAGCTCAAATACCACCTTCGGAGGAGCTCATTGATGTATTTATTTCATTCACGTGGCATCTGCAGAATAACATGTCTTTATTTCAATCAGTATGTACTGAATGGACAGTAGGGGGGATGGGTGAATATAAACATATAAAATTACTTTTAATTCAGTTAAAGTGGCTTCCTTTGGTTACAGTTGGGTTTACTGTAATGGGCAAACAATAAGTATTGCTTTTATCGTAGGTGAGGGCCTCTTGGTAAATTAAACTGCCCTGACGACCAGCCAGCCACCTGCCCTTTTAAGTGGGCTGAGGGGAGGTGAAAGCCTTGCTCACCAGTCCCCACAGGCATCTCCTGCTTCCAGGCCAGCAGTCCCCTCCTGTTCTGAGGGTGATGTGTGACGTGTTCCTACGTCTTAAATAAGCGCAGACCAATGTAAATGCTGTGTCTGCCTGCGACAGTTGCAGGGTTGTCCTGCCACCCTCAGGACCCCGGCCTGGGGAGCCGCTGGACCTTGGGCACAAGCTTCTCCCAGCTGCCCTTGCCCTGGCCAATCAGCTCACCAGCATACTGCTGAGCTGCCCCTTGCTCAGTGCTGGGAGGCCCAGTGCCCTGGCCACGCCAGCAGCCCCGCCCTCCCCAGCAGGTGTATTGGCTGGTGCGTTTGTTCGGCCATCCCTCTGTGTGGCTGTGTAGTGGCTGTAAGAGGCCCTTTCTCAGACACTGTGCATATTCAATGTTTGGCATCTGAAAGTCACATTGCAAAGTGATTAGTAGCCCGGAAACTATGCTCCTTGGAGGCACAGGGATAAGGCAAGGTTGTACTCATGTCACCCGGCCCGTGGGTGGCAGGAAGCAAGGGCGTCACTTGTCACCGTTTCCGAGACCTTGGCGGTTCTGGGCCCACGTGGGCAGCCCCCTCCCCGAGTCTCATCAAGCCCCATGATGTATTAGCTGCCTCTGCTCTGCACAGCAGGGGTGCTTCGCACAGCAGGGCGGCCCAGATTTCTTTTATCAATTCCATCAGCGCTCTGAAGCCACATTATGCGGCATTTTGTTTGCATACTAAACACCTTCAGGGTGGCAGATCTTGTCTTTGCACTGGGTGCTTTAGACAGGAAAAGTTCCTGCCCATGTGCTTTGCTCGTATTCTTACTCACAGAGGCGGGGGAAACCCCAGAAAAATCAAGCTCCCTGTTTTTTTCCCCTTCCCCAGCCTCCAAAACACAAAAACTCCAGTACCTGTGCATTTGTCACCATAGACAGCTCTGGGCTGGGAAGCTACATTACTTGTGCTTGCTTCTGGGAAAATAGCTGGAATGCGCACAGAGGGGATATAGGCTGTCCTCATTTCTCTTCATCATCGCACCAGACGATGTGTCATGTGAGCGAGCCCGAAAGGGAGTCTGGATTCATTACGCATCGCAGGCGCTCCCACAGGCACCCTCATGTGCCCTGAGTGGTTCTGACTTTGCAAATGATCCCGCTGTCGACGATGAGAGACGCAGGCGCGGAGCACCACCGTCCCAGCCTCAGCCGGCACATGGCGCAGGCGCGCCAGCGGATCCAGGCGCCATCGGTCCTTTCTCACTGGAGACGCAGGGACGGAAGACAGGGTCGCCATCAGGGGCCCCCAGACGCCCGGTCAGTTCCGCACTGATAGGATGCGCACGTTTCTCTCTAACTGGGGAACCTCACGCCCAGGGCTGCCGTCTCAGTCCTGAGCATTTCCACGGTGTGTTTCCAAGTGCCCTTCCTGGTCCCCAGAGGTCTAGAAGGCATCCACTTGATAGACTAGAAAGAACAGGTGAGGGCACTGACATGAGTTCTTATCCCAGAAACAGGGTGCCAGGCACACGCCGCTGGTTTTTTGTTTTTTTTTCCTAGCTCTGAGAAGAATGTCGCTGGTATTTTGATTGAATCTGCAAATTGGCATTGAATCTGCAAATTGCTTTTTGTAGTATGGACATTTTGATGGTATTAATTCTTCCAATCCATGAATAGGGAAGGTTTTTTCTTTGTGTGTGTGTGTGTGTGTGTGTGTCTGTCTTCTGTTTATTTCCTTAATGTCTTGTAATTTTCATCTTAGAGATCTTTTGTATCCTTGCTTAAATGTATTCCAGGGCACCTACATTTTTTTTGTAGCTATTGTGAATGGTACTGAACATACAAATTCTTTCTCAGCCATGGCTCTGGCTGTGTATCCAAAGACTCTTGATTTCTATGTGTTGTTTTGATGTCCTGCAACTTTGCCAAACTCTCTTATGAGTCCCAGTAGCCTCTTGGTGGATTCTTTTGGTTCCCCTTCAAACAAGGATAATCTGACTTCCTCCTTTTGAACGAAATAGAATTTCTGGTCCTTCTTAGGTGTTGCAGAGAGCAAGCCCGGCCCTTAGAAAGCACAGACTTGGCCCTGCAGGGAGACTTTGGGCCCGGCAGCATTCCGGAGTCCCCACGGTGGCAGGTCGCATGCTCTGCCCGTCAGGCATCAGGATGCCAGCGCTCTGTTTGGGAACAGCGGATATTCGGATATTCCATAACACCTTGGCTGCTGGCTCACAAGGGGTCGTGGAAAGTCCCTCTGGGACCCTGTTGCGTTGTGTGCGTCTGAGACACTGTGTTCCCAGTCAGCCTGAGAAATGGCTCTGTGTGACCACCTTACGACACCAGTGATGCTGGTGCTCCGGCTTTTACAGGGTTGAGTTGTGACTCAGAACGAGATTTCGTCCTAGTTTGGCCAGACCGGTCAGTGACGGGCACTGGGGCTCGGGCCTCTGTCCCGTCCTCACTGCTTCCCCTCCCCGCTGCCTGCACCCCTGGACGCCAGGACAGGCAGCAGCTGCTTCCAGGGCCAGGGCATCCACAGGAATGTCACAGCAGTCCACCCCACCGGGGGCTTCAGCGGAAATGCCCTTTTATACATTGCCTCAGCGTTTTGAAAATGTGGACACCTGATTTCCTCCAAGGAGGGGCCGTGTGCTGGGCCTGCAGGTAGCACCTGCAGCAGTGGGGCCGATGACACTCCCAGGGCTCCCAGCCAGGCCCTGCCTCTCTGAACAGGCAGCCAGTCTCTTCCTGGCCTTGAGGCCCGTGCCCCCCACCCCACCCCACCCCCCGAGCCTGCGATTAGATTCTGCCCTCACCACTGCTTTCTCAGAACTGGAATCCCACTCCCCGTGCGGGAGCTGGGGCTCCAGATTGCTCTTAGCTCATTACCTGGGGAGGGCCCGCTCCTCTGAACTTGACTGCAAATGGTTTACGTATACCATGAAATTAAATAGATATCAGCCTGTAAGATGCAAAGGAATATTGGTTCTCTAGATTTGCTGAAGATAGCATGAAATGAGGAGCAGCTCTGTGTAAGAATCCGGGTGTGCGTGTGTGTGTGTAAGAGAGAGAGAAACACATGCACACTTAACCTCCTCTAAATGCACA